AAATCCAATATGGAGTTAACACATTTCTTCCCTATACAACATCCTGGCCATCACAGAATGTCAACTTCGTCAGCGTATATAACAATTGGAGATTCGTGTGACACAGTACCTGCCGGTGGTTCGTCTCCCAGCATTCTCTGCAGCCAACTATCCATTAGTAATTTATTTTCAGGACCTAATAATTCAAAAGATAACACTGAGCTTGTCACTTATCGTAAATACACGTCAATAACTACATGAATAACAAGACAGGAACATGTTTTATGAAATGGGACGCTTCGCAGCTGATTACCGTATGCAATGATCTTGGGGTTATAGTTGGATTGCTATGCGAATCAATCCGTAGTAAATGACGATGACCAAATGAGGTCTGAAACTGTTTAATTTGCAATGTAATTGTTTTACTAATATTCGGTAGTGTATTTATTTTGCAATTCAATGTTCAATTTTCGCTGTCAGTATTTCAAAATTGGCTGTAGTTTCGAGGTTTAAATAAATCATACAAATGTGTCGGAATGTAATTGATTCGGTTTACACAACTCGCGATAATTATTTGGGTATTTGACTATTTCATACTCCATTGTTATTAAAAGTTGCTCCACATGCTAGTGTACTATTATGCCAGTTTGATCTTAACAAACATTATTAGATGCATATATTTTTTCTTTACGGGATACTTTTAATTTTTTACACAAATACAATGGGAATTGTATAGACATTCCGTGGAATATAAAAAGTGGTCGAAGTAGTAGGAAAGTGTGATCCGTGAACATAATAGATACCACATCATGACCACACGGGGCGCCCTTTATTACGCGTATAAGCACTATAGAAGAATACCGTTATTCACAAGTCGAAAGTGCTAGAATCTCATATAAAATATACACGCTGCCCCGAACATGCTTGGCCACAATTTGCTATGATAGAATATTAACTAATATACTATCAAAAAAAACATTTATTTGGTATTGAATTTTAATAAACCAATAATAAACCTAAATACCAGTATGGAAGTTATTGTGTCAGATGAATGTGTTTATAAAATAAATTTGCCAGTCATTGGTAATTGTCCAACCTTCATATTTAGTTTTTAAATAATGAATAATTAAAAAATACTAATATACTATATACATGATAAAAAAGGAAAAGACAACTGGGTAACAGACATAAAACAAATTTTAGAAAATTTAAATATGGGAAATATTTGGGAAAACCATAAATCTCTTGATGAAAAACAAATCACTGAAACAGTAACGCGCAAACTAGAACAATCCTTTGAAATACATAGTACAGAAACATTACACGATGACAATAAAGGTAAAAACCACAAAAACAAGTTACGAACCTATAGGAAAATTAAAACAGAATTTGCATATGAAAAATATCTCACCACAATCAAAAATCCAAATCATAGAGCAGCTATGACAAAACTCAGAATAAGTGCTCATACCCTTCAAATCGAAAGGGGCAGATATAATAACATTTTAGCGGAGGACCGAATTTGCCCAGTTTGTGACAAACAGGAAATTGAAAACGAAAAACATTTTCTTCTCAATTGTGATTTATACAAGAAGGAACGAGAAATCATGATCAACAATATTAAATACAATATAAGCAACTTGGGGACGGATGACGAAAAACTTACAACTATACTCAAAATTAAAAACGACAAAACAATCATTAAACTAGGAAAATTCATCCACACTTGTTTCAAATTACGACAAGAAAAAATCTTAAAATGACAGATGCCTCAACCAACCACCAAATATTTTTTTTTCTATTCTATTGTCTTTGATTGTCTTGGGATACGGTTTCAATAAAGATTATTATTATTATTATTATTATTATTGATGGAACAGTTTCTGATATGTCAAGTCCGTCTTATAGCGGTGTTTTATGTTTGCCAACGATTGACGTAATAAAAATACAGTGCCTTACAGTGTATTTTACATATGTTTTTGTCACAACGTAACATCCGCGTAGTACCTTGAACTCATTGTATATTTCATGTCGTCAGTGAGTTATTGTGTTATGTTGTCTTATCCTGTTATTTGTGATTAATATGTGTTGAAGGAAGTATCCTTACTCATATGTATATCGTCTTCCATCAAACACTCCCCGTCACTGTTTACATCTGGCATGTTTTCACAGAAACTGTGATCGACGACTGATCCAAGTTCCTCCGCGCACTCAGACGATACCAGCTCACAGAACTGACGACATGGTAACATGACGTCAGCGGAGCCGTCACATCCGGGATACATCAGTCCACATATAAACAAGGTTAAAAATTCAGGTTCCAGACAATCAGACACGATCACGTGTAGTATGTGTTCTAAAATGGCAGATTCGAATTGGCTGCCACCCTGCACACCAAGTAGGTTTGGTAAGTGTCCGTAGTCATATGGCAGTAACGCACTGCAAAGCTCGTAATCTATCGGTTCACAGGCTGAAACAGAAATGAGAGTAATAGACCATTTTCCGTTCACTGCGAGAATCATGCGTTATGCGTGAAATCGAACGTAAAAACAGGACAAACAAAGGTCATAGCGTCGTAGTGGCGTCAAACATCGCGTGGGATTCGACAAACGCGAAGTATTTTGGGGGACATTTCCATGCTTAATAGAGGGGGGGCAAGGGTTATTTTCGTTCAACGTAATTGCAATATTTTTTTGTTCGTACAACGTAAATAGAAAAAATAAATTCCGTAATTCTGTAATCACCGGCTAGACGTACAACGTAATCAATCAAATATTTTTTTCGTACACTGTAAAAATGTGCCATTTTTCTCCTTACGTACAAGAATTTACATCCAAATAAAAAAATCGTAAAAAAAATCCAGGGAAATTACATTTCAGAAACTGTAAAACGACTAGATGACACAATTCACTACAAAATTGACTGTCCAAGACGTAAAAGGCCCTCTAACCGAATGAAGAGCATTACGAGGGTAATATGCGCATGCGTCTCTACACACGGCACAGTAATGGCGGAGCATTTGAGTCGGAGAGCTTTTTGGACAATTCAATGTTCCATTTTTTAACATTGTAAACTGTAAAAACGTCTTTTTTTTCCTTGTACATTGTAAAAAGCCCTTTTTATTTCCCGTAAAACCGTACCAGCTACCCCCCTTGCCTCCCCTCTTAATAATGTGCTGTTCACATTTGATGATAGGCAATTTTGATTAAGTAAGGGTATTCGGAAGCAATATTCCTCTGTCGAAGATCGGCAGGTCGATGTGAGTTACGAAATAAAGAAATTCTAGTTCAAAATCAAATCGTTCGATTTTTGCGGCAGACGTTCGACGCGCGTTTTTCATACATCTCGCGAGATCTCGCAATTGTACGGAAAATCCCCTATTGAAGAGATCACAATTTATATTATTACTAACAACGCGTAATGCCAATAATATTAACATCAATGGATTCATCTTGACATTTAGCTACATACTGTGAATTGTACAATAATTTGTAATATTCAGATTTATAATAAGATCAATTACTAACTTCCTGTGCCTGTACCACCACCGTTGGGTTCTGGAACTATTGGTTCATCTGTTGACAGAATACATTTCGGGACACATTAATTGTTATTCAAAATTAATAATTACATAATTAAAAGAACGGTTGTCAAGTCATAGTCGCTTTGTACCCGGTTACAAATAACACGTATATTACCAGAAGATATAATACAAAGCCATGATCCTTTACGATATATGGTGTTTGTTTTATATTACCCATGTTACACTGCGTGTCATTATGTTGTTTTAGTTTGTGGTATTAAATCAATTAAAACTAGCAGACCTAAAATTATAAAACAGGTTGTTGGTCAATAAAAAAATGATGTGAACATGTGCAAGTAATTCTAAATTTTTCTACAAGAGCATATTAAACCTATTCAGTGGCAGTTCCACTATTGGTTGCCGAGGCAAAGGCGACTATGGTACTGTCTTTCACGATATCAACAAATCGGTTTAGAAGTTACGATAAGCCTCCAAATAATAAATGCTATATGATCAAATGCACGTTCGAATCAAGGCGATATAATTTACACCGCGTGTTTTCAATTTACAATATGCAATCAGCGCCAAGTAAATGTTTATTCAATAAATCTTGTAAAATATAGTCTTGGTTCACTGTAATATATGTGAGTACAGGCTACCGACGTCATCAAATGTCATTTATGTCTACCGTCAGACCACTTTGATCTTCCTTACAACCAAGCCGTCAAACTAAACACAGGAGGTTGTGAAATACTCCATCGCGTACCGTGCTATGATGCAGTTGTCAATGGTATTTTATTCGCAATATTGGACTTATAATTAGTCCCATCTGGCACTGTAAAACTGTTTTGAAACAAAGTTTTGAATATCTACTAGAGATATATTCATAATCAAATGTGACATTTGTTAAACAGACGGGAGGTTTCGTCGTATTGTTACTCCTATTAAAAGTTACATATCTCATTGCAATGATTAAAACCAAGTAATCACGTACTGTTGATTTTATATCCGATCAGTTCGATTCTCATAGCTGGTCTTCTGACCCACGTTTTAGGAATCACCCTGACAACCCTGGCTTCAAAGGGACTATTAAACACGTGAGGCATGATGTCATGACCATCGTGGTTACCCTCAAAATCCTACCAAAAAAAATAGAATCAAGAAACGAAAATATTCAACATGAAATATTAATAACACGTAATTGATCAGTCTGCTTATTGAAGAGAGGTATTTTTAAAATGTTCGTTACTTTGATAGGTAGAATAAGTGCTTTATTAAATGCTGGAGTTGGTAGGCTCTAAATATAATTAAAGCGGAAGACTCGTCACCTACGCATGCGTCAGGTGGCCATAGCGTGTCATTGTTTATAAACAAGCGTCCACCCATAAGCCTTTGCGTTCTTAGCGTGTGTTGTTATCAACGCTTGGGACTCAATTCCCGCGCGTGCGCAGGTGACGATCCTCCCGATTTAGGCTGCACGAATGAAGTCGATACACACGTCTGCTTGGGACAATATGGAACACCGTCAAAATTCGAGAAGATAAGAGTAGAACCTAGTCACTGCGCAGAAATTACAGTTGCTCTACATAATTATGTCATTATTACCATAACATTCTCATTTGCATCCATATATGGAACGAAGTCGTGTCCATCCAAGCTCAGCTGTAACTGATATTGGGTTACCCAATATTCTTTTGGGATTGCTACGCCCTGTGTTACGATGGCTGTCAGCATATGTAAGTGTAACAGGTCGATCTGGATAAATGGGACTGGGTCGTCTCTTGATGGCATCCAAGCATTCTGAAATAGATTTAATCTGCCATGGAATGCAGGATAGGCGGGATCGTGTGAGCTGGATGTCATCTGTGAGTTGTCAATCAAACCGGACTCCAACCCCAGATAGTGTGAACCATCTAGTAAGACCAAATACAACGAGTAAATTACTGAATATACAAACGTGCGAATGAATGAATGAATGAATGAATGAATGAATGAATGAATGAATGAATGAATGAATGAATTACGGGATGCTATAATGTATACATTACTATCTACATACCAGGTAAACCACTAAATCCGGGCAGCGGTATTGGGACACCGAATACCAACACTTCTGCTAACGCTAGATGTACTGGGTATTCAGCCTTCAGTTCAACGCTCACGTATTCACCAGACATCGGTATACCATTATGATCCAGGCATTCGACTTGAACCATCTCACCAAGAGATATCATATCTTCAAATTCTCCACATACTGGATTATTATGGATGTCTGGGTCATCACCGACTCGAATCACAATATTTTCCAGACTGTTTAGTCCGTTGAATACTTTAAAATATTGAAATAACGATGGTATTAGCGTTTTCACTCGAAATACAAATTACTATTATTTGTTATATATATGTATATATGTGAGGTATTCTTGTTATCAGTCACACTCGACAAACTTCATCTACATATTATCACGTGGTCAACTAACCTCCGGCAGCAACATTTACAATAGTGATGTAGAATACGTGATGGTGGTCAAGCAGATCGACATACCACCATGGCTGTGCTTGTTGTTTACTGATTGCCGCTCCGTCATCTAAGGAAAAAATAAATTAAAATGGATCTTATGTACATATATAGTATTTATCATATATGGTTTGTATACACATGGTAATGTAAACAGAACCAGACTGTGAAACCAGACGTTCCTTCTAAACAGAAAATCTCTGAAAACAGGCGCCCCTATCAACAAAACATGTCTGTAAAACGATGCCCCTCTAAACAGAACATCTCTGAAAATAGTTGTACGTATAAACAGAGAATATCTGAAAACATACGCCCGTAAACAGAGCACAGCCCTAAAAACTTACGCCCCTGTAAACGGAACATCTCTGAAAACTGGCACTGCTGTAAACAGAATATCTCTAAAACAGGCGATCCTGTAATCAGAACAACTCTGGAAACAGACGCATATGTAAACAGAACATCTTTGAAAACTGACGCCCATGTAAATAGAAATATCTGAAAACAAACGCCCATGTAAAAGTAACATCTTAGAAAACATACTCTCCTGTAAACGGAACATCACAGAAAACTGGCACCCCTGTAAACAGAACATCTCTAAAAACAGACGCTCTTTTAAGCAGAACATCTCTGAAAACAGACGCCCCTGTAAACAGAACATCTCTGAAAACAGACATCTCTATAAACGGAACATCTCTGAAAACAGACGCCTCTGTGTACTGAAAACATTTGCAGAGAGAAAACCTCTAAACATCCCCGTAAACCGAACAACTCTGTAATTTAACTAAAAGGTTCACATAAAAATATAAATTTAAACCTACCTTCGACGCCATCTACAGCAATTCTTGCATGGAACTGTGTATGTAACGTACTTGACAGCTGCGCTGGTTTTACTAAAGCCAAGTTTGCTAAACCATAGATCTCTTCATCGGGAACTACGTAACAATGAAAATAACAAGATACCAAGTGCTTATGGAATCAAGTTGAGTAATTTGTTGACATATCGCCCTCAGTTGGAATTATATCTGATTGGAGATCGGTTGTGTGGATGAGTGGATTGAATAGAATGGAAACAAACATGCCTCGAGATCAATCATATTTTCTTTGCCATAAATAGTATGTATACGAAATACCAAAGCAACGGAATACTACTTACTTTCTGGTGGTATTCCGTATACTTCGACTCTAAGTGAGACGCGCCCAAAATAGGATTGTGGGGCGATTCTGATGTACCTAGCATGGAAACCAGATTCCAAATTATGACGCACTACATCGTCTGGATTGGAGTTACCTTTCATTAACTGCAACAGACATATATACACGTGGTTATGTATTGCTAACAGAAATGTTCCCTCTCGCTCAAGAGTTGCACATATGTACATCTCTAAGAATGTTTTTTTAGACATGGCACATGAATCTGCCACACATTCTTCCCAATCCACTATAATGTTGCCTACATTTGTCAGTTCGTCTGAATCCACATCATATACTTGCGATAATCAGGGGCGGATCTAGGATTCTGGAATCCTCGGTCCCCATCTAAATCCTCCAATGATAATACTAGTACATTTAGTGTGCGTTTGTATAGTACATGAAATAAGAACGCATTTATCATGCTGTGATCAATGGAAATACGACCGGCACTTGAAATGTGAAAATGTTTAAACAAATGTTACATGGAAAAAACAATATTTTATTTATTTTTCAGTTCTAAAGTTAATTTGGTAGATGGGGAAGATGAGAATTCAGTTCAATTCCAATGTCTGACAATTTGAAACAATATTGTCTTCATTTGGCGTGGGGGATCATTTACATGCGAGTGAATATGTGAGAAAACGATGAATCGAGCAAATATTATTTTGTAAAGCTAGAACATTAACTCACAGGGTCATAGCATAGTCATAGCATAGTCATAGCATAGTCATAGCATAGTCATAGCATAGTCATAGCATAGTCATAGCATAGTCATAGCATAGTAATAGCATAGTCATAACATAGTCATAGCATAGTCATAGCATAGTCATAGCATAGTCATAGCATAGTCATAACATAGTCATAGCATAGTCACAACATAGTCATAGCATAGCCATAGCATAGTCATAGCATAGTCATAGCATAGTCATAGCATAGCCATAGCATAGTCATAGCATAGTCATAGCATAGTCATAGCATAGTCATAGCATAGTCATAGCATAGTCATAGCATAGTCATAGCATAGTCATAGCATAGCCATAGCATAGCCATAGCATAGTCATAGCATAGTCGTAGCATAGTCATAGCATAGTCATAGCATAGTCATAGCATAGTCATAGCATAGTATTTCCAAATATATCAACTTCAAAATGTCTAGGATAGAAATGTGCTATTATGCTACCAATATATTACTATAGATGAAACAACCCGAATTCAAAGTTATTTGATTAACTCTGTAGAAAAGAGTAAACTAATATTATATAGAATTTTAAAATATGGTACAATATCTCACTAATGGTTCTGCATCACCAAAAGCCAACCAATTCATGCCATCCTCGCTATAGTATATATAATATGACGTCACATATTCCGCATTGATGGTTCCACTACGTCCTTGTGTAGCGACACCAGTTACCAGAGTAAGGTAGAGCAAATCAATCTGCAGATATTGATGATTGTCTGAAATTAGTGCCGACCACGCTCCTAAACCATAGTAGGACGGGTAAAGACCGAGACGACCACGGTGTGGTCCAAGTATACTATCGACCGTTGATGAAGCCGTCATCTGACTGTCTCGGATAAGACCAGATTCCACTCCCAGGGGAACACTACCAGGTACTGGAACATAAAGATCATTGCACCAACTTACCAACTGCGTATTATACGTTAATATTGCCGCCAAACTAGTAAGGATTCACAAGAATACAAGTTTATCATACACTCACATGGATCTCGTTCATTTAACATCCCCAAACCGTCTCTAGGCAACCCTGAAATATGTAAACTGATAATTAGATCAACAATTACGCAAACAACACAATATGCATCGAATCATTTCCATGGTATCCCACATCTCGTTTTCCAAGACAATCGATCATACCTTCATCACTGTCGAGAGAAATAGGCGATCCACTAGGAACTGCACCACATAGACCATCGTCACATCCATCTTGTCGGTACAAATAGGAAAAAAATCATAAGATTGACAAAGTGAACAGCTTGCAGATTATTTGTTTGTGTGTGTGTAATATTCTATATTATCTTGTATTGTAACTATATTGTTTTATCTTTTGCAGTCATTTATTCTGTGAATATGCTATGGGAATTTTGATAACGTTACTTACCACTACACCCACATTTATTGCCACATTGTGTGCACTTGTCATGATTGTGTGGACACAAACATCCGCCATTTGTACAACATGCACAACTGCGGTCAAACGGATCCTCTGGGCATGCGCATTCATTGGGTCCTGTCCACCCATCCGATATTACACCTTCTATCACTGGTTGGTCTGTTGTAATATATTATAAATGAATATATTATGTAAGATATGACATAAAATAAAGCGATCATTAGATGAAAAAATATTTGTTTCAAGTTAGATTAAAATAATATGCTTTCCATTTGAAATCAACTCGTTGAATAACGTGTTACGATATGGAATTGATTTTACCTTGATCGCATAACGAACCATATCCACACTGTACGCATTTGTTTTTGTTATCACCAGGGCACTGACAGGCACCAGCTATACAACATGCACAGTCATGGCGGGACGCATCAAAGTAACACTCGCATCCGAAGGGTGATGCGGTCCATCGGTCAGCAACAGCTATATATGTGTGATAAATACAATAATGACAAATGTATCGGTTGTGTTATGTTGTCATGGACATCCAATAAATGTTTCCCCACCACATCGCTCATATTTACTAATGTCATGGTACACAGAATAACCAGACAGCGTCACTGCGTGAATACAGCATCAAATAAGCATTCTTCTACATAATTCATTTTCTTTTATAACGTATTACTCTTTATTACGATGACCCTCGAATTAACTGAGGCTAAAAGAAACTGATGACCGGTCACAATTTATGTAAATCAATCTGAGCTTAATACTATAATGAGAAAAGTGGATTCAGATTCCGATTCTTCGAATTTGACCTCAAAACAGCTGCCAGGCTTGGCTGACAACCAGTTATCACCATGGGCTATGTTTGCCATAGTGTTACCTGGTGCTAGTGTTGCTTGGATATGGCCGTAGTTTTGACGACCAATTTGATGTTCGGATCGTGTTTGGTCCTTGTATTACCAACCATTTACGCACATGGGTCGTGTTTGGCCCTAGTGTTGATAACCAGTGTCCATCATAGGTCGAGTTTGGCCCTAGTGTTGTCGATTAGTTGTCAGCATGGTTCGTGTTTGGCCTTTTCGTTGACGGTCAATTGTCAGCTCGCCCAGGGTTGACGACCAATTGCCAATATGGGTCGTTTTTGGCCCTAGTGTTGACGACCTATGTTCGGCATGGATCGTTTTTGGCCCTACTGTTGACGACCTGTGTCGAGCATGGTCCGTGTTTAGCTCTAGTGTTGACGACCAATTACCAACATTGGTCGTGTTTGGCCATGGTGACTACCAATTGCCAGCATGAGCCGTGTTAACCTTATTGTTGACGACTAATTACCAACATTGATCGTGTTTGTCCCTACTGTTAACGATCAATTGCCAGCCTGGGTCGTGTTTGGCCATGGTGACTACCAACTGCCAGCATGAGCAGTGTTGGCCTTATTGTTGACGACCAATTACCAACATTGGTCGTGTTTGTCCCTACTGTTAACGACCAATTGCCAACCTGGGTCGTGTTTGGCCATGGTGACTACCAATTGCCAGCATGAGCGGTGTTGGCCTTATTGTTGACGACCAATTACCAACATTGATCGTGTTTGTCCCTACTGTTAACGACCAATTGCCAGCCTGGGTCGTGTTTGGCAATGGTGACTAGCAATTGCCAGCATGGGCCGTGTTGGCCTTATTGTTGACGACTAATTTCTGAGCTTAGTCTGTGGTTGGATTAACCGATTTTTTATCAAATTCATCTGACGACCAGTTATTGAGCATGAGTTGACCCAACAACATAATTATTAATTCGATTTGGCGCTGATATCTCTATGTCTGTTGATGGTATGGGTTAAAATCACAAGCCAACCAGATAAAAAGTGTAGTTCTCTCGGCATTCACACATATTCACATATTGTAGGTATATTTCGACAACAGGTGAAAACAATGAACAATACAGAGCATTGTATGTATTGTGTGAATCAACGCAGACTTAATTTATTATGAAAATCAATATGATATTTCCAGTGGATTATACTGCAAATATTTAATCAGTCGATTTCTGAATCAACAGTTTTACCGGGTTGTTGGTAAAAGCGTCGCACATCCAACAGAGTCGCACTGCCACGTTTTATTTATCATTTTGATATCGAATTGTGAAATCAAAGTAGTGTGAATGCGTGCGACGGAATAATGATGACGTTCTTTTACAACATTTCGTATTTCACATTGCGTGATGCGGATGTAACTCAATATTTACCGTTCATGCGAGACCTCGTGTTATGTGGAATTCGTCAAACAGTAATCGTAGGGTATTTCCACGCTTAAAAATATGCTATACACATTTGACGAAGGTCAGTTTTGATGCAGTAACACGAAATTCTCTTCTAAAATTTCCCTAGAAAAGAAAGTCAAGTTCAAAATCTAGTCGTTTGAATTTTGTGACAGACGTTTGGTTTGCGTCTTTCACGCGAGATCTCACAGTAAATGGTAAATCACCTATTACTTACTTTCATCTTGGTCCAAACCTATTGCACGTTTGTTCTTGTCCATCGCAGAGGCAGAGGTAAGCCATACGACCAGTGCTAATAACCACAGCTGTGACATCTAAATGAGAACAACAACACAAATTTGAACAGAATTACTGGGGTATTCATATGCTCAGTTTGTTGACAACTTAAAGAAGGGCATTAATAGAAGTTTCTGCATTGTGTAAGAGACTGTACAACGCTTGGAATAAACTCAGTCTAATTTAATATCAATGCGTGATTGTAACAAGGTTTATAAAAAAAATATTAATAATAACCAGTGTATTTAGTTTTTCCTAATTTCGTGAATTACGTTATATAACACAACCATTGGCCTCGTTGCGCGCCATAAACATGTCTGTTCTAGATCCTACCAGTCACATGTACTTTTATATTGGCTTGACTGGATATGGGTTAATGGAAGATATGGTTGACTGTTCTTCAAGTCTCATCTTATGTCAAATCTTATGTCGAATAGAATCTACTACAATACTGATATATGCATGATTTGTAGATGTGTTCACTATCTAGTCATAGTGATAGGATAGAATTATACTGATATATGCACGATTTGTAGATGTGTTCACTATCTAGTCATAGTGATAGGATCGAAATATACTGATATATGCATGATTTGTAGATGTGTTCACTATCTAGTCATAGTGATAGGATAGAATTATACTGATATATGCATGATTTGTAGATGTGTTCACTATCTAGTCACAGTGACAGGATAGAATTATACTGATATATGAATGATTTGTAGATGTGTTCACTATCTAGTCATAGTGATAGGATAGAATTATACTGATATATGCATGATTTGTAGATGTGTTCACTATCTAATCATAGTGATAGGATAAAATTATACTGATATATGCATGATTTGTAGATGTGTTCACTATCTAGTCATAGTGATAGGATCGAATTATACTGATATATGCATGATTTGTTGATTATGCCTACTATTTAGTCACAGTGACGGGTGGCGGGTTTTCTCACATGTCATGTGTTTTTAAATGAGATTATTGACAACAAACATGTCATTCCATTGCGATAACCTGATGAAAATTGTAGCATTG